GGGCAGGCAAGACCTCATCTCTACAATAAAATAAAAAAATTAGCCGGGCATGGTAGCGCGTGCTGTAATTCCAGCTTCTTGGAAGACTGAGGCAGAGGGATTGCCAGAGCCCAGCAGGTCGAGGCTGCAGTGGCCGGGAGCGGCCACTGCATTCCAGTCTGGGTGACAGAGTGAGATTCCAACTCAAAAAAAAAAAACCAAAAACTTTATGTATGATGTTCATACAGATTGTGTTACAATGAGGAAAACTGTAAAGATAGCATGTTTTGTGGAAAAATAGGATAAAAAATATATACTAAATTATAAATGGGTAAAAATGTATATGAAGAAAGACTTCAAGAAATAATCCAGGCTGGGCACAGCGGCTCACACTTGTAATTCCAGCACTTTAGGGGGCAGAGACAGGAGGATTGCTTGAGCCCAGGAGTTTGAGAGCAGTCTGGACAACATAGCGAGACCTCATCTCTACAACAAAAAATAAAAACAATTAGCCAGGTGGTGCACACCTGTAGTCCCAGCTACTTAGGAGGTTGAGGTGGGAGGATCGCCTGAGCACAGAAAATCAAGGCTGCAGTGAGCCATGATCATTCCACTGCATTCCAGCCTAGGCAACAGAATGAGAACCCCCCCAACTAAAAAAAACCTAAAATATCCAAAATAATAACTGATTGTTTTAGGGTTGTCAATGTATCAGTAATTTTTTTCTTTATTTTTGCAAATTGTATATCATATAGTTTAGAACTTTTTAAATTAAACAAATAAAATTGTAAAATGTTTGCTTCTTCTCTATTCTGAAATCTCAAATTTATTTACTGCCTTTAGCATGGAATTGTCTTAGATCTGACAACACACTCCTATAAGGCTCCCACTGTGTCAGTTTCTGGGCATAAATAATTCTCTTTGTGCATTTTTGCCTTATATTTAAAACCTTGGGGTCAATTCATCCTGCTGCCTGGGTTCTGCGGCCCTGCTGCCTGCATGGAGTTTGCTTGTGAAGTCCTAAGATGTTAACTCAAGTCTAAATAAAACAGAGTGTATGAGCATTAAAGATTACATCAGTGGCATTTCAAAGACTACTACAAATGATTTTTATTTGGGTTTTTATTTATTTATTTTTGAGTACTCATTTAGATATTTCTAGGGAATGCAATTTAGTTCCATTGGGTTTTCATATACCTGCTTATACTACATCTCACAAATGATTTCTAAATTGACGTTTGGAATTTTTCAAGTCACTGCTTATTCTTAATTGTGGGGAGTGACAGCAGCTGTGTGTTCTCTGCATGGTCACTTTAGTGTGTGTGTGTGTGTGTGTGTGTGTGTGTGTGTGTGTCCTGGCTTTTATTCTAAAACTCAGGGTGGAAACCACAGCAGTGTCATCAGGCATTCAGAGCACCGTCTACTGTCACAGGAGGTGTTCTGTGACTGTTGTCAGGGATGTGGACTGACACTCTATGTTCCCTGTTCTTTCTAATTAGGAGGGTGAAGCGTGAGGTGAGCACACTGGCAGAACTCAATCATGTGAATATTGTTCGCTACTTTGCTTGTTGGGAAGGAATTGATTACGATCCTGAGGACAGCATATACGGAGCAAGGCAAGTAAAAAGGAATTCTCATAGCCATAAGAGGATGAAAGGAAACTATCCTTTACTATGTGTGAGGCATGGGATATAGCCCTTAATCATCACATAAATCATTACAACTTCCTCTGAGGGAGGATTGTAGACATGTGCCACCACACCTGGCTGATTTTTAAATTTTTTGTACAGATGAGGTCTCACTGTGTTGCCCAGGCTGGCTTCATACTCCTAGGCTCAAGCGATCATCTCACCTCAGCCTCCCAAAGTGCTGGGATTACAGGTGTGAGCCATTTTGCCTGGCCTAAAAACCTTTTTTATATCCTCAGTTGTTTTCAGAATCTCAGGTTCAGCGTCAAGTCTTGCTGGTGTGCAGTTGCAGTGCAGGCTGTGAATGCGGTGTCGTGAGGAAGGTTGTATCTGATGCTGCCTCCAGGGACTCCCTTCTCAGCTGCCGTCTCTTTTCTGTCCCTCTCTTAGTCCCTGGTTGGTGTGGTATAGTCAAGGGGTCTCTTTGGAATTCAACTGTATCACTCACGGGTGTGTATGTGGGAGGCTAGGCGACCATGAAGATAATCCCAAATCCCAATTCCATGAGCTGTGATGGGACAGCCCCTTCCTTGCATCACTCGTGTTCTATATCAGTTAAGCCACTGTTGGAGGACTGGGGATTCTGAAGAGCTGGCCTCTGTCCTCGAAAGTCACCATGCTTTCTTGGGGGCAGTCTTCTCACTAAAAGCTGGAGGCCAATGGAGCCTGATTCCTCACTGTTTCCTGCCACCAGCCCACCTCCAAATCATGTCATTGAGAACTTCATCATCAGTTTCAGGAATTACTGACCATTAGCATATAGGACTTCAGTTTCCAGCAGATTTTGGTTACCGCTTTCTGTTTTATAGCCAAGATATATACAAAGAATATAAATTAATATCAAGGCCAACTTAGTTCATAAAAAATAGGAAACATGGGCCAGGTACGGTGGCTCAAACTGTAATCCCAGCACTTTGGGAGGCTGAGGCAAGAGGATTGCTTTACCTCAGGGGTTTGACCAGCCTGGGCAACTTGGTGAGACCTAGTCTCTACAAAAAAATTAGCTGGGCATGGTAGCGTGTGCCTGTATTTCCAGCTACTTGGAAGACTGAGGTGGAAGGATTACCTGAGCCCAGTAGGTAGAGGCTGCCATGAGCATGCCACTGCACTCCAGCCTGGGGGACAGGGTGAGACTCCAACTCATAAACAAAAACCAATAAAACAAAAATATGAAACATGGCTGGCCGTGGTACCTCACACCTGTAATCTCAGCACTTTGGGAGACCAAGGCGAGAGGATTGCTTGAACCCTGGAGTTTGGGACTAGCTTGCATAACAAAGTAAGTCTTCATCTCTACAAAAAAAAATATATATATATATATTAGCTGGGCATGGTGCCACATGCCTGTAATTCCATCTACTTGAGAAGCTGAGGTGGAAGGATCACCTGAGCCCAGGAGGTCAAGGATGTGGTGAGCCCTTGATTGTGCCACTATACTGCAGGCTGGGCGACAGAGTGAGACTGACTCAAAAAAAAAAAAAAAAAATGGGTCTGCTCATACTTTATAAATTAGCTAAACAAATTAAAGCTCTGGACATCTGGGAACTTATGATTTAAATTAATGGTGGTTCATTAAGTTTTGATTCAAATTTATTACATTTAGATTTCTGCTTTGAGACATAATTTGAAAGTTCTTAAGAAGATAAGGTATAATTTTTTAAAAGAAATGTGTTTTTCCTCAATGTATTTGTTACTTTTAACATACTGGAAATTGTATATCCAGATTACAGGTTAGGTGCCTTTTCATCCAAATGCAATTCTGTGATAGTGGGTCATTGGATCAATGGATCTGTAACAGAAGAGGCAAGACACCAGACAAAGCTTTGGGTCTGGAATTCTTTGAACAAATAACAAGAGGAGTGGAGTATATTCATTCAAACAACTTAATTCATAGAGATCTTAAGGTAAGTGGAAACTGTCCTTTGTTAGTTGATAAGTTTAACTTAGCAATTCTAAAATCTGCCTTCCCTAGTTTTAGAATTGTGATTGATTGATAGTTATGAGGAAATGGTAATCTCTGATCCTCTGAGGTTAGGCTGGGTCTAGAACTTGCCCCAGTTCTATCTCAGAGAAGCACTCAGAAGATCTCCAGGGCTAGTGACCTTCCAGTGACAAGGAAATATTTGTAGGTTCTTTTTTTTTTTTTGAATTGGAGTGTCACTCTGTCGCCCAGACTGGATTGCAGTGGCCACTCCCAGCCACCGCAGACTCCACCTGCTGGGCTCCAGCGATCCTTCCGCCTCAGCCTTCCGAGTAGCTGGAATTACAGGCGCGTGCTATCACGCCCGGCTAATTTTTGATTTATTATAGAGATGAGGTCTCGCCAAGTTGCCCAGGTGGGTCTCGAACCCTCAGGCTTAAGCAATCCACTCACCTCAGCCTCCCAAGCCGCGGGATTACAGGCTGAGCCACTGAGCCTGGCTTGTAGGTTCTTAAGAACCTTCCAGTGAGCCCTACAGGAGTCTCATTCACTTCTGGTCTGTTTGACTGATAGTCATACCCCAGTTACAACCACTGATAATTTTCCTGTACTGAACGTTTCTGTGTCGTCAGTGATTATGGCTGGTACAGTCAACTGGCTACTCTGTTTCTGCCTCTGCTGCTTCTCAGGCTTACTTGAGAGGCAGAAGGGACTCTGTTTGTTGACTGGTTTAGGGAACATAGTTCCCTACTCTCAGTCATTACTCTAGAAGGCAGTCACAGCAACTGGGTCCAGAGTCTAGTGTTTCTCTGTCTTTCTTTTTCTTTCTTTCTTTTTTTAGTGAGATGTGGTTTAGGGCTTAGCTCTGTTGCCCCGGCTGGTCTTGAACTCCTGGGCCTCAAGCAATCCTCCTGCCTTAGCCTCTCAAAGTGCTGGGATTGCAGGTATGAGCCACTGCTCCTGGCCTCAGGGTCTAGTATTTTCTTGGTTAGACATTTCTGCCCCTTGATTGGAAAACTGTAGTCATTCAAAACTTGGACCATGGAGGTAATTTTGCAGAAAGTGATCTTTACCCAACACAGCCCCTCTTATTAAATTCTCCAAGTGTTTACCGCTGTCAGAATCTTAAGAATGAGCCCTTAGGTGCTGGTGAGGGACATAGAGATTTCTGGAGTGAGGGCTTTCTATCAAAGCAGCTTCTCTCTAGAAGGTCCTGTCTCCTTATAGGCCCAGGCTCTTTGAGCAGCCTCAGCCCAAGCATCTGCCCTTGTTCTTTGCCTCCTAGATAAAGCTCACACCCTTTGTCATGCTCTATAACCCTACATTTTGTCTACTCATGCTGTGACTGATTAGACAAAATATGACATTTTCTTTTTAGTGAACTATAAAAAGCAATTTTATATGAGATAGTCTCATCCAATGTAGATATTTACACAGCATCATAAATGAGAAACCTCCTGTTTCTCAGAGTCAACTGACAGCCTCATGTCGAACTAGTGGTTTCCCTTGCAAACCCAACATGTGTCTTCATTATAACTTGCACATGGCATAGGAACATTTTCTCTCACATCCACGCCACATGGATCACAGATTCCACCTGTATTATGGGCATTAGTTTCCAATCTAACAATTCATTGAGTTCTGATTTAACTATCTGCTCATTTCTCTGCAGGCCATCTCAGGCTTTTTTGTTTTGCTTTGTTTTAGATTTACCTTTACTTTTTACTTAAAAAATACATAATTTACATATTTGTGGGATACACGTGTTTGTTACATTTATAGAATGTGTAATGATTAAGTCAGGGCATTGGGGGTATATATAACCTTGAATATTCATGATTTCTATGTGCTGCAAATATTTCAAGTCCTCTCTTCTAGCTATTTTGAAATATTCAAGACATTGTTGCTAACTATATACACCCTACTCTGTTACTGAACATTAGAACATGTATCTTTTGTCTAATTATATGTTTGTACCCATTAGTCCACTTCTCTTCGTCTTCTCTCCCACCCACACACCCTTCCCAGCCTCTGGTGCCTCTGGTAACTTTTTTTCTATTGTCTAGTTCCATGAGATCAACTCTTTAACTCTCACATATCAGGAGTAACATATAATATTTAACTTTTTTTTTTTGAGTTGGAGTCTCATTCTATCGCCCAGATTAGAGTGTAGTGGCATGCTCCTGGCCACCGCAGCCACGACCCGTTGGGCTCCAGCAATCCTTTTGCCTCAGCCTTCCGAGTAGCTGGAATTACAGTCACGTACTACCACGCCTGGCTAATTTTTTTTTTTTATTTGTTGTAGAGATGAGGTCTCGCCAAGTTGCCCAGGCGGGTCTCGAACCTGCGGGCTCAGGCAATCCACTCATATTGGCCTCCCAAAGTGCTGGGATTACAGGCTGAACTACCGAGCCCGGCCCATATTTAACATTTATCTTTTTGTCTTTGCCCATTTTAAAATTGAATTGTTTGTCTTGTTATTGAGCTGTAAGAATTCTTTAATATATTCCGGACGTAAGTACTTTATCAGCTATGTGTTTTCCAAATGATTTATCCTACTCTGTGGCTTATCTTTTCATTTTCTTTAGGGTTCTTTTTTTTGGTTTTTTTTGTTGTTTTTTTTTTGAGTTGGAGTCTCACTCTGTCACCCAGACTGGAGTGCTGTGGCTGCTCCCGGCCACCACAGCCTCGACTTGCTGGGCTCCGGCCATCCTTCTGCCTCAGCCTTCCGAGTAGCTGGAATTATAGGCATGTGCTACCATGCCCAGCTTTTTGATTTATTGTAGAGATGAGGTCTTGCCTGCCCAGGCGGGTCTCGAACCCGTGGGCTCAGGCAATTCACTCACCTCAGCCTCCCAAAGGCGCGGGATTACAGGATGAGCCACCGAGCCCGGCTAGGGTTCTTTTTTTAAAAACTTTTTTTTAATTTTAAAGGTATGGGGTACAAGTCAGGATTAGGTATGTAAGTGGTCTCTGTACAAGTAAAGTTTGGGCCTCAAACTGGTCTTCAGTTAACTTGGTAAGTACCCTTAATGATGTTATATCACCCCCGCAAAAGCAGCACTGTCCCACTACTGCCAATCTGTTTCTTGTAGTATTATGATAAATGTTCAGGGTCCACTTATGAGTGAGAACATGTGGTATTCAGTTCTTTGTTTCTGTAATAGGTCACTAAGTATGATAGATTCTAAATCCATCCAAGTTGCTGTGAAGTCAATAATTTTGTTATTTATGGCTTTGTAGAATTCCATTGTGTACATGTATCACATTTTAAAAATCCAGTCCTCTTTTAATGGGCAACACAGTTGGTTCCATATTTTTGCTGTTGTGAACAGTGCTACAATAAACATGTATGAACAGGTATCTTTTTTGTACAATGATTTGTATTCCTTCAGGTATGTTCCCAGTAGGGGGATTGCTGGGTCGTATGGAACGTCAATTTTTAGATCTTTTAGAAATCATCATACTGTTTTCCACAAAGATTGTACTAATTTACTCTCCCATCAACAGTGTAGAAATGTTCCCTCTTCTCCACATCCTCTTCAGCATCTGTTTTTTTTTGTTGTTGTTGTTGTTGTCTCACTTGGTCGTCCAGACTGGAGTGCAGTGGCTGCTCCCGGCCACCGCGGCCTTGCCTGCTGGGCTCCGGCGATCCTTCCGCCTCAGCCTTCCAAGTAGCCGGAATTAAAGGCATGCGCTACCACGCAGGTCTTTTTTGATTTATCGTAGAGATGAGGTCTCGCTGCCCAGGCAGGTCTCGAACCCGCAGACTCAGGCAATCCACTCACCTCAGCCTCCCAAAGGCGCAGGATTACAGGCTGAGCCACCGAGCCCAGCTCTGTTTTTTGAATTATTAATGATGGCCATTCTGACTGGAGTAAGGGGTATTGTGGAGCATCCCTTTGGAGGTGGCAACCACCAGCACATCGGCCTGGCCTGCAGGCGGGTCCTTTGGCTATACCTGGAGAGAACCACTTGGGGTGTGTGTGGGCATTGGAGCGTGGAACTACCCTTTTCAGATTGCCTCTTGGAAGTCAGCTCCAGCATTAGCGTGCGGTAATGCCATGGTCTTTAAACCTTCTCCTTTTATACCTGTTTCTGCATTGCTACTGGCTGAAATTTACACAAAGGCCGGGGTACCTCCTGGGCTTTTCAATGTGGTACAAGGAGGGGCTGCCACAGGCCAGTTTCTGTGCCAGCATCGTGATGTGGCAAAAGTCTCCTTCACTGGAAGTGTGCCCACTGGCACTAAGATTATGGAGATGTCAGCTAAAGGAATCAAACCTGTCACCTTGGAACTTGGAGGCAAGTCTCCACTCATCATCTTCTCAGACTGTGATATGACCAATGCTGTGAAGGGGACACTAATGGCCAACTTCCTCACACAAGGCGAGGTTTGCTGTAATGGTACAAGAGTATTTGTGCAAAAAGAAGTTCTTGATAAATTTACAGAGGAAGTAGTGAAACAGACACAAAAGATAAAAATTGGAGATCCCCTTCTGGAAGATACAAGGATGGGTCCACTCATCAACCGACCTCACTTGGAGTGAGTCCTTGGGTTTGTTAAACTGGCAAAGGAGCAAGGTGCCAAAGTGTTGTGTGGTGGAGATCTGCATGTACCTGAAGATCCCAAATTAAAGAATGGATACTACATGAGACCTTGTATATTAACTAATTGCAGAGATGACATGACTTGTGTGAAAGAAGAGATCTTTGGGCCGGTTATGTCCATTTTATCATTTGACACTGAAGATGAGGTTCTGGAAAGAGCCAATGATACTACTTTTGGACTAGCAGCCGGCGTCTTCACCAGGGACCTCCAGAGGGCTCACAGAGTGGTGGCCGAGCTGCAGGCTGGAACGTGCTTCATTAACAACTATAATGTCAGCCCAGTGGAGTTGCCCTTTGGTGGATATAAGAAGTCAGGCTTTGGCAGAGAGAACGGCTGTGTGACAATTGAATATTATTCACAGCTGAAGACTGTGTGCGTGGAGATGGGTGATGTGGAGTCTGCTTTTTGAAAACCTGGAGTGAAACCTGTTGACATGGCCAGACTGAGAGCAGTGAGAACCTGCTCTTCTACAGGGGTGGTACAACTGACACCATCTGGTCATTCAGGATCTCTCAATGTCATTCAGTGTCATTCTTCATCATTCAATCAACTTCCTAACTGAAAATGTATATAAGTGCCTTTTACATGCTAATCAAGAAAGTCATGATTTTCCTCAAAGCAAATGTCCGTGAAACCTTTAGAGCCGGTGATACACTTCCAGAGAGCAGGGAGAGGGCCCAGGATCATATGTCTCTGCACAGTTCACCCACTGACAGTGTTAACTCCAACTTATTTTGAAGAATTTGCTCCTTTGTAGGTTTCTGGTAGAATCAGTGGAGATGATTTCTGCTCATGGACGTTTTTTGTTTTTTTTTTTTTTTTTGGCGTAAGGACAAACTTTATTGAGCCCCATAGCCCTAGTTCTCTTTCTCCTGCACAGTCTTGGTTCCCCGGAGACGTCCAGTCCGGCAGGCAGCAGGGTATCTCAGTGTGGTTTTGATTTACATTTCTTTGATGATTAGTGAAGCTGAGATTTTTTTTTCATGTATCTGTTGGCTGTTCGTATGTCTTCTTTTGATAATTATCTATTCATGTCTTTTGCCCACTTTTTTATAGGGCTGTATATACTTTTCCTTTTGGCACATTTGAGTTTCTTGTAAATCCTGGATGTTAGGCTTTTGTCACATAAGCAGTTGGCAAATAAACTTTTTCCCATTCTGTGAGTTGGCTCCCTGCTCTCTTAATGGTTTCTTTTGCTTTACAAAAACTTTTCAGTTTCATGAGATCCCACTTGTCTATCTTATCTCTTATGTCATTGACTTTTGGGGTTATGATCAGGAATTGATTGCCTATTATAATATGCATAATGGTGTCTCTTGTATTTTCTATGATTCTATAGTTTGAGGTTTTATGTTTAGGTCTTTGATCCACTTGGAGTTGATTTTTATGTATGATCATGGGTAGGGGTCCTGTTTTCATTCTTCTGCATGTGATCAGCCAGTTTTCCCAGCATCATTTACTGAATAGGTTCTCCTCTCCCTAGTGGTTGTTTTTGGGGGTTTTGTAAAAGATGAATTGCTTGAGAAGTTGAAGTTTGGCTTCCAGAATCTCTATTCTGTTCCATTGGTCTGTGTGCCTGTTCTTGTACCAATACCAAGCTGTTTGGATTATTGTAGCCTTATAATAAAGTTTGAAGTTGGGTACTGTTCTGGCTATTTGTGGTACCTTTTGTTTCCATATGAATTTCTATATTGTCATTTCCAGGTCTGAGAAGAATGATGTTGGTAATCTAATTAGTATTGCGTGGAATCTGTACATTGCCTTGGATAGGATGGACATCTTAACAATATTGATTCTTGCAATCCATGAGCATGGAATATTTTTCCATTTGGTTGTGTCTCCTTGGATTTCTTTGAGCAGTGTTTTGTAGTTTTCATAATATGGGTTTTTCACATCTTTGTTTAGATGCCAAGATATTTCATTTTCTTTGTGGCTATAGCGAATGGGATTGCGCTTTTTATTTGGTTCTCTGCCTGTTTGTTGTTGGAGTATAAAAATGTGACTGTCTTTTGCACATTGATTTTTGTCTTCCCTACCTTGTGGAGGTGAATCCTCTCTGTCTCTCATTCTAATTTACTTTCTAAATAAACTATATTTTCCAATCTAATATTTATATATATATAAAATCACACATCTCTTGGAGGCTTTGTTCTCTTCTTAAGCTTCCTTTTTATGATTTTAACAGATTGGGTTAGTTCTATATTTTGGTCTTCAAGCTCTGAGATTCTTTCTTCTGCTTGTTTAATTCTGCTTTCCATGCTTGTCTGTTTATAATTTATTTAATGGGTGGTGTTCTTTATTGCCAACATCTCTGTTACTAATTTTTTAATGTTTTCCTCTTGCCTTTCTTGATTCTTATTCATCCTCTCTATTCCTTCCTTGATCTCTACATTTGTGGTCTGAGATCAGTTGTTCCAGGCGCTCTTCATTGTTTGAGTTTCAAGGTCTGTATTGTTGAGTGCTATCTTTTTAGAACTCTGGGGGTTACCTGTGTTCTTCTGTTGATTTATCCTAATTTGTGATGGATTTTTCTTTTTTCTTTACTTCCATTGTTCAGTGAGAGAGGGAATAGCTTTCACTTCTGTTTGCTAAACCCTGCATCTGTCCCTAGGTAGTCTCCAGATTTGTTCAGTTTTTAAGCCAGGCTGGGGATGAAAGACTGCTGTCTTTTTGCAGTTTTGAGATTTGAATGAGCTGTAATGGGGAGGGGGGGCTAAGGTTCAGAAGCTACCTGCAGATCGCGGTATTTGCTAAACGGGGTATGGGCCCCACCTGACCCATGTCTCATCACCTCACAATATGTCCATGTGGTGGGAACATATGTATACCCCCTGAAACCAAAATGACATAAGAGAAAGGAAAACAACAGAGAAAGAAGGGAGAAGGAAGGAAGATAAAGCAAAAGAAGAAAGGAGAAAACAGATAAACTAGAACAGAAAAACCATGATGATACACTTACCCTTATATATACCCACATGTGAAAAAAGAGGAAGGAAAAGGAACAAGACAAATCAAAACACATACATACAGATATAGAGAGAGCACGCACACACACACACACACAAAAACAAAATGAAATTTAAAACTCCAAAAATGCTTGTGAACCTTGGGCTTCCTCTGTGGTCATTTCTGGAACTTCAGGTTTATTTTTCTTGCCGGTGTGTCCCAAGCACTGCTGCTCTTGGCTCCCCATGGGAGGGAGTGGACTCCGGCCTCTAGACCCTCCCCCCTGCTGTCTGTGGAGTCAGGGGGTGCTTTCTGTGGTCATTTTACCTACCTGTATTCCATCCTTTCAGCATGCATGCTGATCAGGCCACTAGCCACATGTGCCAGACACCCTGCAGACTGCTGGGGGAAGTGAACTGGATCAGTTCAACACTCACCCTTACTTCTCTGCAGCTAGGTCTCCCACTGTAATTACACCCATTGTTCTGTGAATGGTCCATTGTGGGGAATGGAGGACTGGGTGTCTGCACTGGCCCTGTCTCTCTGGGTATCATGCACTTGGGGTGTCCTCTCTGGGCCAATGATGATCAATCCCAGAGGAGTGTGGAACTCACCCCTCAGTCTCAGGATGTAGGTTGATCAATAATGGGCAGGCAGGAGCACGTCTCTGCCCAGTTTTCAGAGCAGAGGCAATGGCAGTGACACACATCTTCTTATTTGGCAGGACTCAGTTCCTGATTCCCTCCCCACTCTTTCACTATTTTCCAGTCAGTGATCAACCTGTTGCCACAGTTTGGGGTGGCAGACTGAGTGCCAGGTGCCAAGTGGTGGCTGATCTCTGAATTCTCTTCCCAAGGAATGCCCTGAGAATGGTGGTTTCTTCTGCACATGTGGGGTGCTGGATCAGTCTGGGTTCATAGAAGCTCCTTCTTCAGCCTTCCCTGGGCTTAGGGTCTCTTCCCTCTCAATTCCTTTATTAGGCCCCCTCATAAGTATGTTACCTCATAGGGTCTTTGTGTGTGTATAGCTTAAGACTGTATTAAAACTCTGACTTTTTTTTTTTTTTTGAGTTGGAGTCTCACTCTGTCGCCCAGACTGGGGTGCAGTGGTTGCTCTCAGCCACTGCAGCCTTGACCTGCCGGGCTCCGGCGATCCTTCCGCCTCAGCCTCAAGTAGCTGGAACTACAGACACGCGCTACCACGCCCGGCTAATTTTTTGATTTATTGTAGAGATGAGGTCTCGCCAAGTTGCCCCGGTGGGTCTTGAACCCGCAGGCTCAGGCAATCCGCTCACCTCAGCCTCCCAAAGGGCGGGATTACAGGCTGAGCCACCGAGCCCAGTTTAAAACTCTGACTTTTTAAAGAATGGCAAAATATTAATTTTTTCATCATCTACCTTTCTGTTTTAATGGTTTTTAGAATATTGATCAATACCATCTACAAAGCTGTGGAGTAGGCTTGATCACTTTTCATTCTGTTCTTCCTTTAAAAAAAATTTTTTTAAATGTTTTAAATAATTGCATGGAAAAAATATTTCAGAACTAGCTATCAACTTCCAGTTAACTTGGTAGTCTTTCAAGGTGGAGGGATGTGTTTGTTAAGAACTTGTCAGAGGTCTGGATAATTTGACCTAGGTAAGGTCCCTATGAGAAATCCTGCACAAGATGATCTGCAGTATTATTGGGAATGGACCCACTCAGAGAATCTCAAATTTGGAAGAGAACTTGCAGGTGTCTCCTCCAATCCCCTTCAGATCTGGGACTCATATTTGCAGCATTTTTTCAAGTGGACATCCAGCCCTGTCTCAGGATGGGGAACTCTTTAACTCCCATTCTTTGGACCACACTACACTATTGGCGTATTTGGATATATGAAAGCAAATCTTTGGGTCATTTCTACCTCTAGTCCTGGATCCACCACTTGGGACCACGCAAAGTGAATCCACTTCTCACTTGACAGCTCTTCAGATATGTGAAGGAGGCTGTGCTCCAAACTGCCTCTGCTGTTGGCTAAGAAGTCCTACCATCTTTCTGCTGGCATTTTAAAGACTCATGATATTAAATTCCTTCATTTGTGCTACATACATAAAGATAAAAGTCTTATTTTATTTTATTTTATTTTTGAGTTGGAGTCTCACTCTGTCACCCAGACTGGAGTGCAGTGGCCGCTCCTGGCCACCGCAGCCTCGACCTGCTGGGCTCCAGCGATCCTTCCACCTCAGCCTTCCAAGTAGGTGGAACTACAGGCGCGCACTACCACCCCTGGCTAATTTTTGATTTATTGTAGAGATGAGGTCTCACCAAGTTGCCCAGGCGGGTCTCGAACCCGCGGGCTCAGATAATCCACTCACCTCAGCCTCCCAAAGCGTGGGATTACAGGCTGAGCCACCGAGCCCAGCTAAGATAAAAGTCTTATAAGGAAATATAAAAATAGCCTTTGCTAAATATGATTTTGACATGTGATAATGGTATGTCAAGTTAGTATGTATACATTAATTGCTGTTTTTTTTTTATAGCCAAGTAATATATTTTTAGTAGATGAAAAACAAATAAAGATTGGAGACTTTGGACTAGTAACATACCTGGAACATGATGGAATGCGAACACATGGTATGGGAACTTTTCAATACATGAGTCCAGAGCAGGTAAGGTCCCTTTCATTTCAGTCTTTATATATTTTATTACTTTTATTTTTTAAATTATAAAAATAGTAGATGCTTCCTATAAAATTAAAACTGTACAGAAGTATATAAAATAAGAATTGAAAATTCTCCTTAACCTTCTCCCCTCTGGTTTTTCTCATCAGTTTGTTCTTTGTCCTTTTAGATAAGTTTCCATGAGTTATAAAAACATACACACAAATACACACACAGACATTTTTTACACAAATATATATATGCATGCACTTTTACAAGGAACTACTTTGTGATATAACTATATACAGTTGTATATGAGGGGACCCAAACAAAACCTGGAATTATTTTTTGGAGGGCATACCCCTTGTAGTACAGACTTTTCCTGCTAGGTAAGTGTTCTAGGAACCCACTGGTATCCATGTACCTGCTAGCATTGTTGTTGCATTCTGCCTCAGTAAATTTTCTTTTTTGGAGATTCTTTGACACGATGGGTGATTTATGAACACACCTACTCACATCACACTGAGTGTTCAGCATTTTTGACCAAAAACAGCATGACCCCATAGTCTCTCTATTCACCCAATTCGGCCCCAAGCAAATTTTTTGTTTCCTGTATGGAAAAAGTCCTCTGGCCGGGTGCAGTGGCTCAAGCCTGTAATCCCAGCACTTTGGGAGGCTGAGGCGAGAGAATTGCCTGAGCCTGTGGGTTCGAGACTAGCCTGGGCAACATGGTGAGACCTCGTCTCTACAATAAATCAAAAAAAGAAAAAAGTCCTCTAAGGAAACATTTCACCAATGTGGAAGAGATGAAACAACAACAGAAGCACTAAGGCATTAAAATGTTGGCATTCAAAAACTGTTTTGAATAGTGGAAAAAATATCTTGATAGGTGTATGGCATCAAATGGGGAATACTTTCAAGGTGACTGAAGTTTAAACATGTAAGAATAAATACGCATTTTTTAAATAAATAAATTCTGGGGTTTTTTTTGTGGCTCCCCTCTTGTATAACTATTACACAATAGCTATAATATTAATATTATTTTGAGACTTGACTTTTTTTTACTTCACAGTATAGCATACGGCCGGGCAGAGTGGTTCTATAATTTCACACTTTGGGAGACCAAAGTAGGAGGATTGCTTGAGCCCAGGAGTTCAAGTGCAGCCTAGGTAACATAGCGAAACTTTGTCTCTGCAAAAAAATTTTAAAATTAGTAAGGCCTGAGCCTGTAGACCCAGCTACTCAGGAGGCTTAGGTAGAAAGATCACCTGAACCTAGAAAGTGGAAGCTGAAGTGAGCCATGATTATGCCACTACACTCCAGCTTGAGTGACAGAGTGAGACTTTGACTCAAAGAAAAAATTTGTTAAAATTATGTCTTTATGAAGATTGTTGATTTTTTTAAACTTTCTTCAGAATATGTATAGCAATTTGCTATTAAAATATTTCTTGTATCAAATTGGTTATTGGTATAAATAATATATTTCTTTTTAATTGTGGTAAAATGCACATAATGTAAAATATGCCATCTTAACCATTTTTTGGGTCATTTTGGGGGCCGTTTGGCATAAAAGTATAATGTGAGGTTTTTGTGGAAGTGAATGTAGAACACAGTGAGAGTGTTCCCCTAGTGGTTCCCCTTTAACTTCCGTTTTATTAAATATTTCCTGTTTTCTGCATTGTCACTTTCACAACCTTTTAAAAAGACATTCATTCTGTGCTTTTCTTTTTGTTAGGAGTGTTTTGCAATGTAGACAACACATTTTGTTGAGGAATAATTTAGACACCATTAAACACACAGATCTTAAGTGGACATTTTTTCATTTTGGCAAATGCACAGCCCGTGTGACCTACAGGCCTATGAAGTTTTTGAACATCTCTTCACCCAAGAAAATCTCCTCAGGCCCTGTCCAGTCAGTCCTTCCTCCCTACTGCCCAGAGACAACCAGCACTCCAATGTCAGCCTCTTAGCTTAGTACTTCTTGTTTTTGGCCTTCATGTAAATGGAACCGTATAGTGTGTACTCTTGTGTATTTAATTTCTTCATTCAAAGTTATGTCTGCTAGAGAGCCTTTTGTTGTTGCTTGTTATTGCTGGGTAAGTAGTCCATTGCGTGACTATACCACAAGATGTTTGTCTTTTCTTCTGTTGTTGGACAGTTGAATTGTTTCTAGTTATGGAATAGTATGAACAAATATACCATGGACATTTGTATGCGAATCACCTACTGGGTACATTTTAACTGCTTTACCTTCTGCATTTTATTTAATTCCACAGTCAGCCTATGGGGCTGATATTATTTTATTCCATTTTATAGCTGAGATTATTCCCATGTGGATGGTTAATTGCATAGAGGATTCAGCTATTCATTGGTAGACATTTGCATCTGGGCTATCAGACTCCACAGATCTTGCTAATAAATAGACACTGCTGTGTGATAAAAGATGTTTGAGTCAAATAGCCTTATTGGGTTTGGAAGGTAAGGAAAGTAATAAAGGTAAATGTGTTTTGTTTCCTCAGATTTCTTCCCAAGAATATGGAAAGGAAGTGGACATCTATGCTTTGGGACTGATTCTTGCTGAACTTCTTTACATATCTGACACTGATGTGGAAACATTGATGGTAAATAATCTCAAAGATAGAATTAAGCAACAAAAATTATTGGCTGTCACCTTCAAGGTCCTGTTGCAGTTATTGCCCTCATGTCAAGAGGGCTTGAGTGGATTAGTACCTGACTGCCAATGCCATGTGAATTTTCTCTTTCAAGTTTTGGCAACTATTTTGTTAAAGACCAAAAACATAAATCTTCTCTGGAAAATGTGTACACCTCATAAGACTTCTATTTGAGTCAGTCCATCAAATGTTACTGATCCGCTGGTTTGCATTAGACACTGTGCTAAGAGCTATAAGGGTTTCAAAAAATGAACAAGGCCAGGTGTGGTGCTCACCCTTATAATCTCAGCACTTTGGGAGGCCAAGGAGGGAGGATTGCTTGGACCCAGGAGTTTGAGACTGGCCTGGGAAACATAGCAAGACCTTGTCTCTGTGAAAAATCAAAAAAATTAGACGGACTCAGTGGTGTGTGCCTATAACTCCAGCTACTTGGGTGGCTGAGGCAGTAGGATCACCTGAACCCAGGAGGTTGAGGCTGCAGTGAGCCATGATCGTGCCACAGCACTCCAGCCTGGGTGACATAGTGAGACCCTGAGTCAAAACCCCAAAAAACAAAAGAACAAGCTTTGTTCTCAAGGAGCTTACTTTCTAAAAGGGAAGATGATATAGGTCAATGCTGTAAAGGTTTCAGGGGAGGCATAAAATCTGTGAAAGCAACTGGGAGGGATGTCTTTCCCAATGTTGGGATTTAGGTTTTGGGGAAGTTGGGCTCTGAAGGACTGGTTGGCTTCTAAGAGTCCAAAGCAGAGAAGGCGATTCCAGCATGGAGATAGTGATGTGCAGAATAGAACTGAGAACAGCAGGCAGCTTTCCTGGAGTATGTATGTTTCAAGGAAGTGGTGGCTGGGGTGACTGGAAAGACAGTTGGTGCTAACTTGAGGACAGAATATGGGTTCCAGCAAGGAAAAAGGAGTAATGAAGAGGATGGACTTGACCCTTCATGTTGGAAGCAGGTTAATAAGATGGGGGTCGACTGGGGGAAGGGAGTCCTACTTGCTTTCTTGCTAAAGAGACTTTCTGAAATATCTGGAAATATCCTAGATCTGGGTTGTCCTCAGCCTTTGTGTTTTCTGTTTGTTTATCCTCCCAAGTAAATAATTTTCTGGCTGAGCATGGTGGCTCACACCTGTAACCCCAACCCTTTGGGAGGCCGTGGTGGGAGGATCCCTTGAGGCCAGACCAGGAATTTGAGACCAGCCTGGGCAACATAGCAAGACCCTTTATCTACAAATAAATGAAACATTTACAAAATAATTTTCTAATAAGTATGTATGTTTTCTTTTCAGATTTTCAATGATCTAAGGAATGGCAACTTCTCAGATATATTTGATAGCACAGAGGTAAGCACTTGATAATAATCCAAATTGTATTTATTTCAATGTTTTCTTTCTTAGTATTGACTCTCACTACCATTACAGAAAGCTCTTCTACAGAAATTACTCTCAAGGAAACCTGAGGACCGACCTAACACATCTGAGATACTGAGCACCTTGGCTCTGTGGAACAATAGCCCAGAAACATATGAGATGAGCTCATGTCCCTTCTGAAAAAGTATCCTGCTTCTGACACATGCCTTTTCTTTAATTACATAAAATCTTCTATGGAATATCAGAAAGTATTTACATTATCCCTTTAATTTTTTCTACATTTGCAGGAAGGTTTTCATCTTTTTACTTCATGAACATTCCTATATTTGAGTTTTCCCTGGCCCACTTCTTCATTCTAAAGATAATCAGAAGCACTCCAAGTTTCTTCTCTATGCTATTATTGAATCAATCAAGTAGTCAATTATTAAATGTCTACTGTTTCTAGGCCAAAAACAATAAGCTCTTTCTCTGCCTTAAATAGTTTATAAGTCAGTAGAGAAATATGGTAACACACTCTTGATTCCTGAAACACCGCTTCTCAACTGATCCATCAGGACCTTGGCAAATTTCAAATAGGACATAGGTTTTTCTTTCTCTCTCTCTCTTTTTTTTTTTTATGCTTAGTACAGTACATAGGAGTTAATAAAACATATTTCTAGTCATCATAAGAATAATTTCCTCTAACATTTTAAAGATTTTCACAAAACATTGATTTGTACAATCCACACTGTGCATATTTGTAAAATAATTTAGAATCATTTGGACTTTTTGACTGATACAATATTTTCACCATGCAATGGTCTTGTAGATTTCATTCCTACATGATTCTAAGTGCTGAGAATTGTAACAATCCTTTTGTCCTTCCACACATGAACTGTAAGATTATTTTTCCTATCTGCTATTTACTTCATTAAAAACTGGCTTTTTGATGTGTGTAAATGTTCCCTTTCGGCTGACTTTGTTCCAGAAAGATGACATTTCATCTTTAGTGACTTCTGCTAGGTCAATACTAGTGTAATATCTTTCAGTAAACATGTGGTATCTGTTACTGGAAGAAGGAATATAGCTCCTGGTGTGGGACAATGGGTGGATGTTGATGATCAGGTTCTTGTATTCAAGTATGGGAAGAATTCACAGACACACAAAGCAGCACGACAAGAGAGATGCTTTATTAAGCAAAGAGGAGATCTTTCTCAGGAGGGAGAGGGGGCAGAAACAGCTTACAGAAGCTGCTGCTTCTGTGCCTAACTGCTGTTGAGTTATAACTTTGATCAGGAGAATCGGGTGTGTTCTGGGGTGGTCTTTTCCTAGAAATAGTTGGTCTTTTGGGCTGGGTTACTTTTATTCCCCTCATGTCAGGCGAGGGAGCTTTAGGCCTTACAGGGTCATAACAGTACTGTTATGGTGTCAGGAGTGTGATGGGAGTAAGGCTCCCCCAGAGTAATTTTATATTAATAGTATTATAATGGAGGTGAAAGTGTGTCATGATTATTTTGGATCGACCTTGGCTATTGACACGTATGCTCCAGGTGGTCTCTAAGCTAGTTTCGGCCTTGGTGTTTGGCTTTCTTACAAGCATTCTGGACAGCTGGATTATTGTGCTGCAGGTGTATCTGATAAGACTAGCATTTAGGCAGGTGTGAGGTTTTCTATAGTTAGGCTGTCTTGTTCACAGGCATGGTTTTGCAACAGCTGCTGCAGGCTTCAGGGGACTTGGAACTTCCCATAGCCTTAAAGTTTTCCTAGTCCATCCTGCCGACACGACCAGTATTGGGAACTTTTCCCAACAACTTTTTATGTAAATGTAATGGAATTCTGGTGCGCACTGGAAGATGAGGTTGAAGGATGTGTTCGGATGTTATGCCACCACAGTAGGGAAGTACTGAAAAAAGATACCCTGTTTTTCAATCACCTAGTGCATAAATGCCTATACCCCATTTGGTAGGCTTATCTCGACTGTATGTTATAAATGGCATTCGCCTCTTTCATTGAACAATGGATTTGTCAACACCCATTGCCTGATCTGGTATGAAATATTGTGAAAATTTTGAATCAAAGTCCAAATAATGATTGGCCTTTTGAATACGAGTTCTGATTGTCCCTTTACTCGACCCAGGTATCCTCAAATGAAGTTTCAAAAGATTTGCATAAACCTTTCTCTACTAAATGTTTCTGAAGAGTATTTTACTAATGAAAGTAAGTGACCTGTATAATTGCAAATTCGGTACTTGAATTGTTCCCATATTTAAGATAACTTCAATAATAGGTAAAAATTTCTGTCAGTCAACGTCATGCCATTTATGACATCGATTTGTGTGATAGCTGCTTTTTCCTTATTTTTTCATCCACATAATAATTTATTTCTTTTATTACACTGTCTGCTAATTAATTTATAAAATGCAGAGTAAAAACTAGTTAATCAATCATTTTAAATCACTTGCTATTTGTGTTCCTGTTGTTTTAAGATGTACAACAAAATTTATTCTCACTGGAGGATCGTATTTTTCTGTAACAGTTTTTTTTGTTGTTGTTTTTTTTGAGTTGGAGTCTCACTCTGTCACCCAGGCTGGAGCACAGTAGCACACTGATGGCCACAGCAGCCTCGACCTGTTAGGCTCAGTTGATCCTTTCCCCTCAGCCTTCCAAGTAGCTAGAACTACAGGCATGCACCACCACGCCTGGCTAATTTTTTTTTTAATTTATTGTAGAGATGAGGTCTTGTCAAGTTGCCCAGGCTGGTCTCAAACCTGTGGGCTCAGGCAATCCTCTCGCCTCAGTCTCCCAAAGTTTCCCATTCTTGATGATACATTGTCTTCTACTTCTTTGAAACTACTAACATTTTCATCACTATCACTTTCTATTATGTTTGCCCATTTTTTCTTGATATGATGCTATCACCATCACTACTATTGTTTCGTGCCACATCAATGTTTATTTTTCTCTGTATAGAAGTCTAAATCGAACTCATCTTCACTGTTGCTCATAACTCTCACTGTTGTCTTTTTGTTTTGCTGTTCTTCTGCAAACTAAATAAATGGGCACAAAATCTATAATTGTAAATTACAAAATCACAAAATGAAATTTATTACAGGAATATTACTTTTTCAATTTTATCTTTCTGACTTAGCAGATATATTTGGCCTGGGTTGCCCCATACTTCAATGTGATCTGCCTTCAACTTTGAAAGTATCATTGCTTTAAGTCTATAGTGACTTGTTTATCTATCCTTTCAAGTTATGCCACATGATACTTAAGGTATACCTATAGCTGCCTTTCTTATACAGATGCTTTTTATCACTACTCTGAGAACACTTCACACATTTTCTTTCTACAGAATGCCAGCTGGTAATTTTTTTTAACATATATCTCAGTATACATTCCATCTCTTTAATTGCTTTTTCATGTAATTTGAGTGGAAACTTCAAGAAAACATGCCTTTTTGAAAAATTTGCCCTTGAATAAATTTGTCCTATACAATCACCAGCAATTTCATTATGTCCCCTGAGAGGGGACATCCAAGTGGTTTGCTAGATTCTCAATGTCCCCTTACAGGGGCTACATGCATGCAAAGGGTTCAATTCTGGATAGCAGTGATCTCTGAGGGAGGGAGGGAAATGATGTGATGAGTGGTATGAGCAGAGGATACCACCCGGGCAGTCTGGGCAAGGGGCATGGCATGAGTTCTGGAAAAGGTATATTTGAGGCATATTGGGAATGCTAGTTTGTTGTCCTGAATTGCTGTAGGGGATGGCAGAAGATCATTTGGATTTCATCTTAGAAGACCCTAAGGGTCAATTTCAGCTTTCAAGGCAACTGTCTTAGTTTGGTTTGTGTTATTATAAAGGCATACCTGAGAGTGGGTAATTTATAAAGAAAAGAGACTTGTTTGGCTCACGGTTCTTCCAGCTGTACAAGAAACATGGTGCCAGCATCTGCCTACAGTGAAGGCTTCAGGCAGCTTCCACTCAAGGAGGAAGGTAGAAGGGGAGCCGGGGTGTGCAGAGATCAAATGGGGAGAGAAGAAGCAAGAGAGAGGGAGGAGAGGAGATGTCTGTGCCTTTTTTTTTTTTCTCGTTTTGAGTTGGAGTCTCACTCAGTCACCCAGGCTGGAGTGCGGTGGCACACTCATGGCCACCCCAGCGTCGACCTGCTGGCTCCTACAATCCTTCCCCCTCAGCCTTCCAAGTAGCGGGAACTACAGGCATGCACTACCACACCCAGCTAATTTTTTATTTATTGTAGAGATGAGGTCTCACCAAGTTGCTGGGGCTGGTCTCGAACCCACGGGCCCAGGCAATCCACTAGCCTCAGCCTCTCAAAGTGCTGGGATTACAGACGGAGCCACAGAGCCCAACTACCTGGCCTTTTTAACAACCAGCTTTGGAGGTAACTAGTAGATCAAGAACTTACTTCTCCCTACCCTCCCACACAGGAAGAGCATTAATCTACTAATAGGGGATCCACCCCCATGACTCTGACTCCTCCCATTAGGCCTCACCTCCAATATTAGGGATCAAATTTCAACATGAGGGTTGGAGGACAAACATATAAACTGGGGCCAGGTTCCATGGCTCAGCCTGTAATCCCAGGTACTTTGGGAGGTCGAGGCAAGTGGACTGCCTGAGCCGCAGGTTCGAGCCCAGCTTGTGCAACCTGGAGAGACCTCGTCTCTACAATGAAATAAAAAATAGCCGGGTGTGGTAGCACACATCTGTAGTTCAGACAACTTGGAAGGCTAAGGCAGAAGGATTGCTGGAACCCAGAAGTTCGATGCTGGGGTGACTGTGAGCGTGCATGCCACTGCACTCCAACCTGGACAAAGGAATGAGACTCCAACTCAAAAAAAAAAAAAAAATCCAAACTCTAGCCGTAACCAACTATTATTATTAACTGCAATGTGATTTTATGATTTTTAAAACCAGCCAAACTCAGGCTAAGCAGAAAATGAGAAAACATACAGTAAGAGAAAATGCTTTTATAGAGGCTTAGAGCTAGTTTTTAAGTGTTCATAAAAAGCAGTTAAATGCTGGGCTCAGTGGCTCAGCCTGTAATCCCACGCCTTTGGGAGGCTGAGGTGAGTGAATTGCCTGAGCCCGCGGGTTCGAGACCCGCCTGGGCAGGTGAGACCTCATCTCTACAATAAATCAAAAAAAAAAAATTAGCCAGGCGTGGTAGTGCGCGCCTGTAGTTCCAGCTACTCGGAAGGCTGAGGCGGAAGGATCACCAGAGCCCAGCAGGCGAGGCTGCGGTGGTTGGGAGCGGCCACTGCACTCCAGTCTGGGCGACAGAATAAGACTCCAACTCAAAAAAAAAAAAAAAAAAAGAACAGGATCTTCACAAGGATTTAAATATAATCCTACAGAGGGTATGCCATCATAAAGAGGAAAATGTACATTTCCAATGGCGAGATCTTGTGGTCACCACATAACCAAGTGATTGAATGTAGCATCACCCAAGGTAGAAAAAACTGATATTATGCCCCGTTTGATGCGAGATAAGAATTACACGCTTTTCCACACTACCAAAGAAGGGTTCATACCCCTCTCTGTTCTGAAATCCCATCGTAACTGAAAGGGAAACTTTCACAACGTCCAGAGTCCTTGTTGTCCTGCAAATGGAGGAGGAGGATGTCCTCAATTTCCTTGCACAGGAGTCCACTGATGTGGCACCAACCTTGTCTTCCAAACAGAACAGCACATTTATAAAAGGAAGAGTGATGGCATCTACATTGTAAATCTGAAGAGGCCCTGGCAGAAGTCTCTGCTGGCAGCTTGTGCCATTGTTGCCACTGAAAACCCTGCTGAGGTTGGTGTCATGTCCTTGGGGAAGAGTGGCTGAGGGCCATGCTGGATTGGATGCTGCCCCTGAAGCCTCTCTTATTGCTGATAGCTTCACTCCTGGCACCTTCACCAACCAGATCCTGGCAGCCTTCCGGGAGT